TCAAATACTAAAATATCCCCAATGTTACCCATTGCATATTGGTATCTAAATCTAAGATATTTAATATTATCAGCCATAAATTGCCATATCTGTATGACTAAATATGACAGATGGTAAGCTGCAAGTTGTAATGCTGTACTTTACAGTTATGGAGCAGATCCCTAAAGGCTACAATAATTGGAATACTGCACCAAGAGCAAATCTCTGACATTCACAAAAAATTGAGTTTGGAGGCAAAGTTATATGTTGTGACCTCAATGTGACCATGTGTGACCATATGTGACCTCAACTGGGTTGTTAAATAAGACTTGAGCCAAGGGGGTTGTTCAGTAGAATCATCCACAATTGAACATTGGTTATATACATCCACATGTACTGAGTTAGAACATAGGATTTAAGTGAACATTGGTTGCATATCTAGACGTATACTGGGATGAAACCTGAGATATGATTTAACATGGGTTGCACCATGGGACATGTACTCAAGTTAGACATTGGTTATTAATCAACATGGGTTGCACATGCAGACATGTACTCAAGTCAAAAATTGGCTATAATCAAAGATATATTGAAGAAGAACCTAGGCTGTAGCTTAACATGTGTGGCACACATGTAACATGTACTGAAAGAAAACCTGATACACATTTGAACATAGACTGGAGACCTCAAAAAACATGTACTGCAGACAGGAAACATGTACTTTGAGGTATCACACATGTACTGAAAGTGACAAAAAACCTTGCAACCTAGTTTAAAAACCCATATACTTTGGGTCATAGACATGTGCGGCAAATTAATTTTTGCACAGTATTATTGCCATAAGAGAGGGCAGATTTACCCGGGAAAGGTCAAAGCTATCTTGCAAAGAACAACACCTCCGCATAGTGCACTACCTGACTTAAGTGGCCCAGTCACTGAAGGCGGATCCGGAGCTAACAAGCTTTAATGGGGCAACGTCCGTGTGGGTTCAAATCCCATAGTTATCAATATATGAGTAAGAGTTGTACATGAGTTCTTTTTCCCCCTATCATCGAGATGATGTGTTGGAATAAAACGATTGACTTTACTCCGGAGGGAATAAATTTAAAAGTACCGTACAATATATACCTAATCAAGTGATAAGTTGGTATCTACTGTATAATTACGTCCAATAGTTCCCGTAACCGTAACACTGGCCCTGGGAACTTGGTCATTTTGGAAATCATAACGCATAACGGGGCCAATTTTTCAGCGCTCTTGCCTATTATGGTAATTTTTTCCGGCCGGCTTTGCCGGCTATACCATATATAGTAAGAGAACTTATACTTTTTTGAAGTTCCTGCGTAACGCATGAAACCTGGGAACTATTGGTTGTAATTATACAGTACTGATAAGAAGATAGCGTGAAAATAACAAGCGGCGCATCAAGCGCATATACTAAATAAAATAAAAACGGAACTAGGGCGTACGGCTCGATTGCTTGATACGGTTCTATCTCCAACATAAGCTTGCTCACCATAACCCCAATGTGAGCATTACATACAAAAATCGAAACCAAAAAAAAACCAGACTTGGAAACTGTACTAGCGCTTGGGCCCGCCTACAACCCACTCAAATTCAGAAAAGAGTCGTAAAAAAACCTGCGCCAACCGCTGTAAATGTAACTATCATCGCCAGCATCCTCCCATTGAGCTCAACGCCTCCGAGGGCCCCGTTATTGGAGCCAGAGCCAGAGCCAGAGCTCGTCGGAGCAGATTCCTGAAGAGTCCCAGTGATCGCTTCGCCCGTGGTGGCAAAAGTGAAAAGCGTATTGACCTGTTCACATTCCCCATCGACAGAATTAATATAGTGGCATGATATCTCGTCGCCAACATTGTCCCCTTGCGGGTCAACGTCATATAGCGTCGCCGATAGAGCAAACCCAGAAGCAGAAGCAACGAGGGTGCCTGTAAGTCAAACATAAGAAGTTAGAGACCATACTTATATCCACATACAAAATCGATCCAAAGTTTCTTCACTCACCAAACACACTTTCCGATATAGTTAGTGTTGCAGTAGTCGAAGTTCCAGTGCTAATGGTGGTCATTTGTTCAACCTCGCTGTACAAGTAAGTTGTCGCAGGGCTATTGCCACTACTTTCAGTACCAGCTGGTATAAGCATGATTGTGTCGGCCACTACCCCATCCGAGCCCGCGTCAACGGTATTGAGGGGGAGAACTGAGCCGAATCCGACATATGTGAATTCGCTGGAGGTGGGTACAGCAAAGCCTCCTGTTGAGAAACGACAGCACGAGCATCAGAGTCATTCAGAAAAGCTTGAGGTCGCACAATACGAACCACGAATTGAAATCCACACACAGAGCCCAATGAGAGGTTTAGACTGAAATCTAAGCATTTTTGCGTCAAGATGGGGAGTGGAGATGTCGAGAAATGAAGGAAAGTTCAGTGACTCTGGGGAACAACGCCAGAATGTTTAACGGTATTTATATTTATTCTGAGCAAGTACAAATTTGAGTGGCAGAGTAATTCTATCCGAAAGAAATGGTAAAATTTGGTAGATATTGAGCATTGAATTCTAGTGCATCTTTCAGAACGACGCGCGTCGTATGATATATGCGCTTTGAGGGTGGACTCGGAGAGTTAAAACACAGGATTAAATTGGAAAATTTAAAGGAATTTACGCTGGGGAAAGGCCGGGGAAGGGCTGTGATGGATTTGAATAATAGCACTTAATTGGCAGTAGACTGGGCTGAAAATGCCAATATATGCGCATTTAACTAGACTGTTGGCGATGCGACTGATTACTACGCTGAATCGCTGATCTCTGCACGGTTTCGACAATACATAGCTTCGATTTTACTTGTAATGGAAGCCAGCATTAGCCTTCGGGAAAGGTGCTAGAGCCACTCAACTAACATAATTTGCATTTCAAGATCAGTATGCGGAACCCATCAGAGCTGAAACGCTGAGATTCCATGTACAAAGCTGGCCGCAGTTCACGAGCAATGCTGAAGACATGCTAAAGACTTACTAAGTCCTTAATCAACGGCTTCTGCGAGAGATAATAAATAACACTGGCAAGTCCCATTGGGTTCGAGACAATTGATTAATATTCAGTTACCCCAGCTCACGTAGGGTTGTATCAGAGGCTGTAAAGAAGGGGAGCCTATGGCGGCGGTAGAAGAGGGCCAGTAGGTACAGGTGCATATACGGTGCGGTAACGGATAGACAGGAGGACCTTGCATAATGCAGCTACTCAAGCGAAGCCAAAACACCGCACCCATAGCCCGGGGTAGAAGTCTGACAGGCGGACACCATCTGATGCCGCATTATCAGGAGATTCCAGATTCGGATTGGGCGGAGAATTCGAGGAATGGTTTTATACAGGTATGCAAAATTTTTTGCAACGCTCTACCTTGAGGCTCGAATGAAGGATTATAACGTTGTAAACGGAAATATCACTTTCTTTCTAGGATTTCCTTTTTTAAGTGAGAGATCCACTTGCTGGAGCTCGAGGCTCGGAGTTACTATATGCCTCATACATCTGATCATCGTCATCCACAGTGCCGTATCCACCGCCTCCTGGAGTTTCTAGTCCAAATCAGAGATGAGTACTATAGTTCATATTCGAGGGATCTCGGATCCCGTCTGACTACACACACTCACCAATTCGAATGTGATCCCAGCCTTCATAGGTGCCTCATTCTTTCCAGCTAAATTTTATTAAATGTCCCATCATCCAATTTCTGCAGCCACCAATTCCGACCACACTTTCCTGGTCCCCCGCCTCGCATACCGCACGGCGGAATGAAATGCCGTTTGAACTTTGGAGAGGATTGCAACATCAAGGTCGCGCGTGAATTCAATTTCACGGACTTGGTGTTGACTGTCGATACTGTGGAGCTTGAGGCTTGCAGGTAGGATGGATTGGGCGCGTTGACAGCCGATCATGAATTTCTAGCATACTTCTTGAAAAACGCTCGTTAGTGCAATAAAACTCTAAACTCCTTCCACACTCAATGAACGTTTCCGAAACTCCACCGGACCATCCGCGACCACAGAACCCGCGCTCAAAGGTCGTCTCGCATTTTGAAAACGACACAAGATAAAGCTCTTCCTCCGCCTATGCGGGGTATGATTATGGAGATAATTGAGAGTATGGATGGTGTCGAGTGGTTGAGGAAGGAAATTCAGGCTAGCCATAGTCCGTTTTTGAGGATTTTGGAGGACTCAGGAGCGAAGGGTATATTTTGAGGGTTCGGGTTGTTAGTTACTTCAATGGATGGTTTGGGTGGGGATAAATAGTATTGCCTGAAGGAAATAAAAATCACAGCTCAATGTTTTATACCGCGGCGCTGAGACTCTGGAAGCAGAAAAGGGCCAGTATGCGCTCGCAGGATATATCAATAGTTGTTGCCCGTCCGCTCGACACTACTTGGAGAGCACGATAACATCCCTGGTGGCGAACCGAAAAACCTCGCTCATTACTTCTGGGGAAGTTGTCAGATAGGAGAAACTGGCGTCTTCTGCCAATCCGTGATGTTCAACAGCTGAGCCTATGCCGTTCAGCTTCCTGCAATCGAGCAATGGCAGCTTCGCACTTTTGAAGTTCATTTCTGGCACGTTCTGCCTGTGCGTAGGGCTCATGCTCGGAAAGCGAATATTCGCCGGGATGTTATTGGCTTTGACATCGTTGTAAAGCGTAGACCAATACGAGACATCTTCAAGTATGCTGGTCTCGGAAGCGTCTAGTAGGGAGTGGCAAGTAGAGCAGCGTCGAAGGGATTCAGACTTGGGCTTTGTCGGAGCTGCCCACCGTCCGGAGCCAAAAGCTGTCACAGTATATGGCAATGAAGAACAGTCACTGGAGATTGCTCAAGGCATTTCTATCATACACCTTCCTTAGTAAGAATTTCCCGCAGTAAAGGGTTTTGTGTGGGAGATATAAAATGTAGGGCTAAGTTTGAATGGTCGAGAGGAAAAAGGGAAAAAAAAATCAAACATAGCGGACAAGAGTATAGTGGGGGTACCGCGGATCGAACGCGGGACCTTCAGAAGAGCCAGTTCGATACTATAGCTTCAGTCTGCTGCTCTCCCAGCTGAGCTATACCCCCATTAATCATTATAGTTCAAACTACCAGACGATTTACCCCATTCGTATTGCCCGCCTTCAAATCCTGCTCCACCTCAAGAATTCATGAACTGACCTTTAATGTTGTCCCAAAATTTGAGGACATGTTCTAGGAAAAAAGATAGTTGGCATTTCAGCAAGCGACCATGAAGCTTACCCTGCAACTTTCCACTCTTCTTCACATCAAGCTCGACTCGAACACAAAAGCTAGCGTATTTTCGTGTACTCGTATCGGACGAAGCTCGGCTTCGGTGGCCTTTTGGGATTCCTCGAACGGGACTGGGCATACGGAGGAAGTGATCAGATTTGAAGGAAAGCAGAAGAACGGATGATTAACATAGAAATGTCCTGCCTCCATGCGGACAAAGCCCGGTCCCGAAACTCGCGCCTCTCAGTTGAATCCATCGCTCCGGCCGCCATATACTCCATATATTATATCCATGAACTCGGTCGAAGAGTTACGGTGATAGTACTACAAAGAGAGTTCAAGTTGATTCAGTCAAGCCGTCCCAGTCCGAAGAAACTGGCCGGAGGTCTGAACGATCCCTCCCCTACGTCCCATCTTCCACTAAAGATCAAAAATTCCGTCAAGGGTACACCGGAGGCTTTCGATTTTGCGACGAGGACGCAAAAGATGGAGGGATCAATGGGGTCTTTGGAGATGCTACCGACGAAGAGAAAGTTGCCCATATCGCACTTGTAGGCACGTAGCTGAGTTTAAGATGTTTACTAGGAAGATGGAAAGAACATGAGGAGGGAGCGCGGACGTTTCATGCGATGCGACAACGTTGAACGGAGCTTGAGAGCAGGAGCGAAGCTGGCCATGTATTGAAGCAGAATAATATCGGTATTGTTGATTTCAGCTCCGTCTTCACATACTGCAGAGATCTTGTCCTGCATTGAAATCATCGAACGGTCGTTGGACAGCTGATTCGGAGGATGGATGGCGGAGGTTGGTCTTGGAACAGAATGAGATGGTGACATGGTCGTTCAATCAGGGAATTAGGAATATACGTCGAGTGGCATACAGTACACGGTGCATTAAAACAAGGGAGTCGTCCCAGACGAGAAGCCAAGCCTAGTATAACGAGTCACATTAGTATATAAATCATGCAGAAACTTGAGTCGACGCACTTCAGCTTCAACAATCTGCCTAGCCTATCGCAGTAGGCTTTAAAACATTAAGGAGGCGGAGGCTGAAAGGCTTGATATAACCAGATGATGTGGTTAGTCCCTTCCAGTCTGCAACTACAAATCTGGTCAATAATTGGGTTGTGGCCGAGTAGTGAGTTGGTTGGGAGGGAGAAGGAAGATCCATCCAGCGATCTGCGTTCATTCTGCAATGCTTGGTTGCAGGACGAGTGCATAGTGGGCGCGGATAGAACAGATGATGACGATTCAAAAAGCAGGTTTGGCTGGCGCCTATACCATCAAATTTCTCGCAACTTTCTTCTACAAAGGATTTTCCACCTTCTGTTCAGAATCTGCTCGGATTCAAACTCTCCAAATTCATTTTTGCAAGCACAACGCCTTTTTCTTTCGAGACATCCTCGCCCAGTGCTTAACCTCGCCTTCGAGCATGCTCTAGGCAGCTCTACGACTCATGAACAAGCCCAAAACGGTATACAGAAAGAAAGACACTTAATAACCACGTTTGCAGTCAGGGAAAGGCTATAAACAGAAACACTTTTGCCTTTTCGCCGCCATTCGATGGAATCGCAGTCAAAATTGTTAAATTTTGGCGCGACTGATCTCTACCTCGCCTTCCTGTCATCATTCAATGGTGGCTCGCCTTTGGACTGCTTCCTAGTGCAACTGATCTCGATGCTGACAACTTTGCTCCTCTAGCACTACTGCCTTACCATTGGCGGACTGTGCCAGCCACAAATGTAACTCCTACAGGTGCATTGTCATGCGACTTCGTCTTCGTTGTGGCATCCTTTTCACCCGTATATCCGTCTACTTCTCAAAAGGATAACGCCGCTGAGTGAGGTCTCATGCCACTTGACTATCTCGTTGGCCATACTTTCCTGATTTTTTCCTAATGCATGGATAGTTGAGCCGCTTGTTATTGTGTATTGGAGTTCATCTGCTTCTTCCTTATGCGTTTTGGACTGTGCTAAATCTCTGTTGAGCATTGCTCCCTTGCTTCTATTCCCCCTCCATTATCTTCGCCTATCAAAGGACTGGCCTGAACTCTCAGCTAACGCATAGATGATAGCTTACATTCACCCCATCAACCTCCGCCACACAACACCGCGTCTTTCCACCGGCTCTGCCTGTTGAACAGCCATTTCGAACCATCCCCGGACAGTTCACTCGCCTCTCCGACAAAACATTTGCGACATTATCTAGTGCGCACTACCGATTCCCGCCATCGCCATCCCTTCACTCGTCTAGTTTGCGGCTCCCCCACACCCACTGCATTTCGTGCATCGCCTGGAAAATCATCGTTCGAGTCTCTCGCGACCCAAGTAAAGACTATACGCGCCGTCTCTGCGATGACCGCTTAGAGATCCTGAGCACAACCTTTTGTGCAACCACAACAGTGCTCTAAACAATGTTCGTGGTTCGTTCCTGGACAGGATCGTTGCGGTCGACCGTAGCATTGCAATTCCACCTATCATGTTTGATTATGACGCGTACCCGCTCCTCAAGAAATGTATACACAGCTGGAGGCGTGAAGTTGACAGCTAAATTCATTCACGAGACACTCGATTTGTGGTCAGGATTATGTCCATTTCGGCGCAGACAATTCTGAGGAAGATGGTGACTCGGAAATGGATGGTCAATTACATAATTGTTACTTATTTACATCTTAGCCTTGTGTTTGAGTGTCCCGTCTCGGCATTGACCCTGTCGTCTACCCGTTCCATCGAGTTCGATGCTGGGTTGCTCGGTAACCTGTATGGTTCCTCTTTCGGATGCGATGTCCCGAGATCGCGCGGTACAATCTAACTATCTATCGATCCATCGATCCATCTATCTATCGATCCATCTATCTATCGATCCATCTATCTATCGATCCGTCGATCCATCTATCTATCTTTCCATCTGCATTGGCTATGAATACAAAGTACTGCCTCAAAGTGGTCATATGATTACTTCTCGGAAACTCTTAATAAGAGAAGTCAGTCGTTCCCACATACTACACCTACATACCGTGCCCATCATGTCTCTTTCTATGAATAATGCTCCCCACATGTTCAGCGGGGCTCATGATTTTAGGATGGAGCATCCTCACTTCAACAATGCTAATACCATGCATGTTCATTGTGAGTTTATGTTTGGCACTATCCTATTGTTACTGACAGGTGGTTCAAGATCGAAGTGGCACACAAATCAAAAGTGAATCAGAACAACTTATAAAATGGTTGACTCCCTCCAATGCTTCCCAGAGCCATGAGTTCTTTTCACAAAAAAGAACAGCTGGAACTGGTGAATGGTTTCTGAAAGGAGAGGATTTCAACAATTGGAAGCAAACTCCCAACTCGCTTCTCTGGCTGCAGGGTGATGGTGAGTTTCGGGATTCATATATTGGATTGTGCTCTTACTCTGAGGATTGAAATACAGTGGGATCTGGTAAAAGTGTGCTAGTGTATGTGAAATTTAGTGCATTTACAGATGGCTTACTTGTGTTCCAGATCTGCCATTATCAATCATGTAAAGAGTTTGGATGCCCATGAAAACCAAATGGTGGCATTCTACTTTTTTGATTTCAGAGATGCATTCAAACAAAGCTTCAACAACCTAGTCACCACTCTTTTATTCCAGCTGTCCTCATCAACCACATTGCAAAAGGAAATTTATTTGGCATTATCAAAACTCTATGATAATCATGAGAAGTTCAGAAGCAAGCCAAGTGAGAGAGATTTGATAAAAACCTTGAAAGAGGTCATTTCAGTTGTCAAAGTTGAATCATTATTCATCATAATTGATGGACTTGATGAAATGGAGAATCAAGCATTCAAGCCCTTTGTCCAGCTTGTAGAAGAGCTTAACATACTGGCATGCTCTCATTTACATTTTTTGATAGCAAGTCGTCCGCATATCTCTTATGCCTATAAATTGGAGCAGCTTTGTTCAAAGACTGTCTGTATTGACAAAGAAGATGTGAATGCGGATGTGGGAATCTTCCTTGATTATACCATGCAAAATGACCATACATTTCACCATCATGGTTTTGAGGCTAAGAATCAAATTATAGATATTTTAACCAGGGGGGCAAATGGAATGTGAGTGTTGGAGTTGTTCATGGTTGAAAATCCATTTTGACTGCTCTCCTAGGTTCCGCTGGGTTGATTGCCAATTGAATGCACTGCAATCATGCATAGGTCTGAAGGCAGTTGATTCAGTTTTAAACAAACTCCCTGCCAATCTGCATGATACTTATATTCAAGCACTTCAAGCAATTGAACCCTCCCGTATTGATGATACAAAGCAAGTGCTACAGTGGCTGTGCTTTTCAATGGAACCTTTAACATTAAGTGCACTAGGGGAAGTCATTGCTTTTGTAAATGATGTTGATGGAATTAGATTTGAGAAGAACTACCGGGTAGCTCCAGAGCATATAGCATTCCTTGGGGCAACACTTATACATGTAGACCAGACTGAAAATATTGTGGAGCTAGCGCATATGTCTGTGAAAGAATTTCTTCTATCTGAACACCTTAGATCTCATATGGGCACTGTAGCATCACAGTTTCACATGCAAGAATATTTGACCCATCAATTGATAGTAGAAAGTTGCTTGACATACCTCCTACAGTTCAATACAGAAATATCAGATACAAAGGAATGGAACAAGAAATACCCAATCTCCAGATATGCTGCCCAAAACTGGTATAAACATGTAAAAATTGCAAATAATGATAAAGTAAACGAGAAAGCTTCTAGGCTTATCCAATCAGGTGAAACTACATATATTAATTGCTTAAAACTAGCACACTTTGAAGAAAATCAGGCAGAGAACTTGCCTATGCC